CGGCGTAGCTGTACAGCGCGCTAGGCTTCTCCCGTCCCTGACGGCGAAATCGCCCGTATTGAATCTTCTGTCTCACAGCCGGTCCCGTCGAGGCTGTGTGCATGGTTGAATTCGACACATTACACACTTGTGTGGCCGGATGCGAGGGCCAACTTGAAGCCCGACGCTCGACATTGTTTGACACTTTCATTTGTTTCGGGCTTCAGGGGCCAGCATTGCCAAGAATGGCCACCTTTCCAGCTGGGCCCCGGGATGCGTTGAGCCACGCGCATGATTTGGTGTGCCCTCCACTTTTGGTTGAAGGATGCTTCAGAATGCATGATGTCTTTAAGCATCAAATCGCGAGAACTGGGGGATAGCGGGCAGAAAGCGGGCGGACTTTCGGCGGGGCGACCTTAAGCGAGCTGTTGTCTTGCTGTTCCCACTTCTCAATCTCCAAAAAGCCGGCGTTTGTTGCGGGAGGAGAAAGATAAAGAAAAAGGGAAGAAAGAGAGAAAGAGAGAGGGAGGGAGATAGAGAGAGGGAGAGAGCCCAAGCTATACAGCAGTGTTTGATTTTGAGACTTCCCTCTGCCAACTCTGCCAGCCTTTGGCCTCAGCCATTCAGCCACTTTGGGCTAACTTGGGCAGACGGGCATCCCGGAGCCTCAGGATGACTGCTTGGACCTCTGCCGGAACTCTTGCAATTCTTGGTGCAGACTTCAGGAGATTTCAGTGCTTGATTCAAGCAACTTTCTGAACCTCCGGCAGTTTCTGTGTAACGCGTCTGACCTCTGTTCTTTGGCGCTGGTCGTTTGACGTCTTGAAAAGGCATCTTGACCAGCCCACGCCATGTGGCGGCACCTGCAACATGCTGCATGTTTCAGCATGTTGTGCAGGTGACCTTGGCTCCGGCATCGACGGAGAAAAGCGAGCAGACTGATTGGCCAACACTCCTTTCTTGGCATTCATTTCCTTCGAGCTTTGTTGTTGGGTGCCTCTCACATTTGCCAAGCTATTTTTTTTTGCGGGGGGTCCGTTTTAGTCTGTGCTAGCGGTGCCATCAATGTTCTCCTGGGGTCTTTTTGTTCGGAGTCAAAACTGGTGGCCTTGCCCCTTTTGGCACCAGGGAAGTTCCCCCACCCCGAAATGGTTACCCTTGTTGTTGCGCCCCAGGTCCATGAAGCTGCTACCAGCACAGCCCCAGGCCACACCAGGAAGCGGCCGGTCAGCGTCCACGGAGCTCGCCATGCGGCCGGCCAGACTTCGACCTTGGAAACCTTCAAAAAGAGCGAGGGCAAGTTGACATGCAGCTTGGGCAGTTGGATTGACCCACCGCAACGGACAAGCCCAAGTTGGTTTGTGCCGGCCCCCCTGCGCAGGTTGCTGAAGCTGGATCAAATTCAAGTGGACTTGTGGCCACATCGTGATCCAAATCCGCATGTGTCGCAGCCCCAGGGCGAGCGAAGGCAGTGGATCACCATGGCGCCTATAGCCCCTGCGCTTTTGGCAGTTTCCTCTTGTAAGTCCTTACGCTGAAACATGACGTCATGAGTCATCACCATAGCTTGGGTGCCCCGCATGCTCGCCTGTCGCAGAGAATCATGCACCTGGGGGTTGGGGGGGGAATGGGGGAACAACAAAACTTTAGGTTCCGACCAACAAGAGTTGGGCAGCAAGCTATGCAAGTTGTGTATTTGGGATGCTCGTAAGTCCTTCTTTGCAGTTGGGCACAGTAAGCTGCAACTTTGCACACTACAATTTTGAGTATGGAAGACGCCTAGCAAGTCCTTTTTGACATGTTGGTTGCGGCAAGCGGGCAGCTGTGCAGCTTGAAACTGTGTCCATGGAAGAAAAGGGGACAAAAGGTGATGGTGCAGATGGCCGGGTGTTCTGCTTTTGGCCAACAACTGTGCTTTTTTCCGTGGGTTTTCGCGAAAGCTGTCCCTGTGGAGGGCCTGGAAAGGTCTGGAAATGATGGACATGTCATTTTCATTGTTACTTGGAGGGCCTGGAAAGGGCGAGGAGGGGGGAGGGGCTTGGAAAGGGCTGGAAATAATGCAAATTGCATTTGGTTATTTTGGAGGGTTTAGGATGGCCTGGAAAAATGATGCTTCAACAAAGGCTGCCCTAATCTCCGCAAACATTGGGAAAAAAAACGAGCGGGGGGGTTGGGTGGGTCACGACCCGCCCCCGCCCTCCTCGTCCCCTTCCTGCGTTCCCCCCTTCGCAAATATGCTTAAGAATGATAATAGTCACAATAATCATAACAATAGTAATAAAGCTTGCTTTCTCTTTCTAAGTAATAATGTTTCCCCGCTCCCCCTTCCCCTCTTTGCTTCCTCCCCGTAAAAAATAATACTGCCCCCTCCCCCTTGTGTAGAAAAGGGCTTCGCGTGCGGCCTCGTTTTTGCTGACGTGCCACAAGCACTCCTTTAGGCGCGGGTACCTTGTTTGACCGTGTGCATGTTCAAGCACTAGCCTTCCAGCTTGCAAGCACTGTAAATCAGCCAGTGCCCAAATCAAGCAGAGGGATGCGCGGCTTTGCTGAGCGGATTCCACCATCGCACACCCCGCAAGCCTTGCGACCACGGACTGCACTGCGCTGAGGCATGTTCGGATACAAACCACGGCCGTCCGGCGGGGGCCCCTTAGGGCCGCAGGGACCAAAAATGCCGCACCCGAGCCAGCCGCTTGCTTGGGTGGTTGAGCGGTTGGTTGTTCAGGCCTGGGCTCCGTCAGTACCCTGCCAACGGGTTGCAACAGCCGAAGCTCAAGGGTAGAGGGGTGGCTTGGTGGCTTCCATTTTGGTCCTGGCAAATGTTCTTTTTTAGTTCCGAGGTGACCAGAGAATGGTGTTTTCCTCTTTCGAGTGCGGAAATGGGCCCAAATCCCAAGAAACATAACAAATGTTGTGTGGGTCTCCGTGGGCCATTGGACGCTTCGGATGCTTCTCGAAGCTTTCGGGTTGTCGTGTGCGGCTGGTTCCATGTGACGGATTTGGCTCAGATACTCCAACAGGCGGCCAAGACAAGAAGCATTAGCATGAGCCACAAGCATCATGAAGCTCGGGGCCAAAAAAAGAAGAAGAAAAAAAGTGATCCTTGAGAATTGAGAGGGTTGATGTATCAGCCTTTTCCTTGAGTGCATGGCATGGCCTTTTGCAGATTGGGGCGACCATTTGGGGCTCAGGTTTCGTCACGCACACGTTTGCGTGATTTGCCTTCTTAAAGTGCATGTCTGTGATATGACTGGCCAGCGACGCGACACACATTGCTTGCAGCTTCCTGCGCCCCCAACCCAAGTTCCCACCCTTCGACCGAAGCAGCTCTTTGCCATGCGCAATGGGGCAGATGCTTGGAACGCAGGTTGCTTTTGTCAATTGGAAGGGGAGGATGCGCAGAGTTTGTCTTGCTTTCCGCACCAGCTCTGTTGGGCAATTCCCCGAAGCGTAACCCAGTTTCACGATGCTATTCTCAACCTTAAGCCCCGCAAACGCAAAGCACCACGGGTTCATTTGGATGTTCCCAAGAGCTCGCCCCTTACTAATTACCAACCGACACTTCGATTTGTGCTCATGAAACGAATCTGCAGTAGGGGGGGTCCTTGAGTGGAGCATGCGCCCAGTTTCAAAAGTAGCCCAACGCCTGTCGTCCCAAGCTACATGGGTTGGAGTAGAGCTATGAGTCTTGTAAATGTGTTTCCAAGAATGGAAGTGCACATCCCCAAACTCAAAGTCTGACCAACACCCTCCTGTCCTGACATGATTGTTGGAATGTACTTCTAGGTGAATTGTGGGCGATGTCGGCTTATGAAATGCTTTCAGAGGACCTTCTGAACTGAAGGCAACTTTTGCTTCTCGATCTCTCCAGTAATTCGTGAAGAATGGTTTGTTTGCAACAACGGGTTTGTTGTGCGACAGAGCTCCTTGGTTTGCCTTTGGTTTCCTTTGTGGGAGAAATTGCTCCTTGGCTTGCCTTTGCCCCCCCCAAACAAAAATTGACCCACAAACGGGCCCAAAAGAGGCCGAAAAGGCTTGGCCCCCTTTGGGCGCCTGCCCATTGGCGAATCGGGAGCCGCGAATCGGGAGCCGAGGACGGCGGGGTCTCTGCCGCTGAAGCGCTTCGTGAACAGCCCCGGGGAGATCGTGGCCGAAGCCCTGGAAGGACCGTCTCTCGACTCGCCCGTTTCCGATCCGAGAATGCGGCCGGGAACGTCGAACCGGCGAGACACTGTTGACCCCGAAGAAATAAACCCTCACTGGTTGATTAATAGGGGGCGTCCCCTTTTAGTGGGGATTCAGGGTTTATTAATCCTGAGTCAGCATGAGGCGCCTTGAGCTCTGAAGGGAAGCAAGATTTCCCCTTCAGTTGGCTACATCACTGGTTGGCAGCCAACCCAAATCTGATTTTCCACGCGGGTGTGTTAACAAGGGGAAATGTAGGGAGCCGATTAGCTGGTTTTCAGCAGGGAATGAGGGCTCCCAGGCTGAAGCATCGCACTGGTTTCCTTTGAGGGGATCCCTGAAACAATTTTCTTGAAATTCCTTGCTGAAAGCCAGCGCGTAACACCAAGCCGGGGCATGGTGCTCAATCAAGGAACATTTCACCGTGAGCACAAGGTAAGGGAAATAGCCCCACAGTTTCCGAGTTGGAGGCTTTGGGGGATCGAGAAGCACGCACGAACCCTGGTATTTGGAGGTGATTGTTTTGCGGTGTCCTTTAGATTGAGTACGGTTGACCACTTGAATCAATAGTCTCATGAGATTACTGCGTTGGTTTCCTGCTCTTGCTTTGGTTTTGCTCCATTACAAGATTGGAGCTCCCAACAGGGGGGGTAGATGGATTTCTGCACCGGCGCGTACCAGAAACCTGACCCCGCCTCGAAAATCCAAAAATCTGTTGAACAGTCGGTGGCCGAAATCGCTGTCCATTTGAGATTCCCAATTTCAGCGCATTTTGGGTCTTAGCAGGCGCGAGGCTGAGGCAGAGGTGCCCTTGAGTCATGTCTTTTGGTTGGAAAGCTGCCAGCTTTTCAACCCAAAGGGATTATTCACCCAAGTTTCCCCCGGGACCCGACGTTCGCCTTGGAGGCTACCTGTGGACGCACCCCAATGTGCAGCTGCTAGAGGGCTACCCAGAGGCACGCAGCATCTCGCCGAGCCGCCGTGAATCTGAGTATGGGTATTATATAAGTAGTCTTGGGAGTTGGTCGACGTTAATTACGTTGGTGGCATTAGTACAGTTCTGAAATATCATTGTTTGCACCTGCTCGAGGGTCTAAACACACCAAATTTCATTTTAACCCACGCGTACCCGCTCAGCACTGCACACACGCCAGCCAAATGGTAAGACCACCCGCTCACGCCAGATGGTAAGAACACCCGCTCACGCGCACCTGCTCAGCACTGCACGCATGCCAGCCAAATGGTAAGAACACCCGCTCACGCGCACCCGCTCAGCACTACACACGTGACAGCCAAATGGTAAGAACACGCTGCATTTGGTCACCGTGAATTAATGTGAATTGCATCCTGCGTCCCTGCGTTGCGTGCAGCACGTAGAGGTGTCCAAAGATTTAGGCCACTCGTTGGATGGGTTTGAAGGAACGCCTGAAGGAAACCTTCCGCGTTGGGGTGGGGCAATCTTGGCATTCCTTCATTTCAATCGATGTAGCTTCTAGTTTCTTTGCCAAAAGGCCGAGCCTACTAGATACAGCATGGCTCACAGGCTATCATTTCAATCTCTCAAACTCGGGGTGTACCAACTAGTTGCTCTTCGCTTTCCCGAGCCGGGCCTTTGTGAAGTTGCCTATTTCCTGGCATACCAAATATGCCAAGGTGTGAGAATGATTGAGCAGCCGTTTTGCTAATTACCTGGGCTTAGTTGTTTAATGCGTTTTTTTGTTTCAGACCCCTTTTGACAGGGGCCCGGTTCCTTGAAAAGCAAAATGGTCCAAACCAGGACCCACCCCGCCCTTTGTTACGTCAGGGTCCATGTTCATTGGTGGGCGGGAAACCCACGTGTTCAACACTGTTGCCATCCCCAGGAAGGTGTTTCGATCTTTTTAGTTGGTTCAGCGATTCACGGGTTGTATTTTGCAATTTAACCCACAAGCACGTTGAGCAGTTGGGTTCGCATGTAACCCACAATTGTTAGGTGGTCCTTGGTCTGTCTAGTCGGCTTAGGGGTTGAGATTCCATTTGACCCACCAGTCAACTTAGAAATGAGCTGAGATCTGAGAACGGGAGAGATAGGTGGGTGTGGCTCAAAATTAAGCAGGAGGGGTTTCGCGCAGGTTTTGGCTTTTGTTTCCACTTACCAGGGTTCCATTTTGGTACCGGTTTTTTGAGCCACAGCCAGGTGAAGGTCTTGGTGTCCTCCACCTGGCAGCAAAACTGCGGCCGTGTGGCAGTGCTCTCTGGGGGCGGATCTGGACATGAGCCCGCCGACGCGGGCATGCTCCTCGCCCAGTCCTTGACCTTTTGGTGTTGGTTTTGAAGGGCAAACCACAAGGAAAGCCAAATTTGTGGTGGGTTCCCATGGAAATTGAAGGGGACGCCACCTGCTTTGACTCACGTCTGCATATACGACTCCATCTTGTTTGTCCTCTTTTGGGGCTGGTTTTAATGAAGTACCTTGTGATTGCCAATTTCGTTTGAGTTGTTTTTGTGTGGATAATGGTGAGGGGTCACATCGAGAGCTCCCCAAAAAATTGAACGAAGGGCCGGAAGGGTAGTGGAACTCGCCCCAATTGCCCCAGGGCTAACTTAAGGGAGCTTGCGAGTTGTTCTTTCAGCTTGAGTTGTTGTTTGACCGATTTGTGGCATTCTGGTTCGGTTTTCCATGAGGCAGGGACGCCTTTGTGCCTTTTGTTCACGGAGGATTAGGTAGCCCTTGGTTGGTTCAGATTGGTTTGGATGCACAGTGTTTGTCATGTTCTGCTCGCTTTGGAGCACACCTCAGCACATTTGGCCGCTTCCCTTTGGAAATCCAAATCCCCCCCACTTTTTGTAAGTTCCACGTAAACGGCCCCTGGGCATATGGGCTTTGATTTCCAAAGCGCAGGGTTTCCTGAATCACCTACAAAAAAGCGGGTTGTGGGTTGCTCCGGTAGGTCCCACTTCCACCCCATCAGGGGGGCTCCCCTTTGTGAATGCTTTTTTTCATGATTGGAAACATCAGGCCCTGTAAAACATCTGTATCCCTCTCAAAGAGGTGCCACTGTGCGCTTCCATGTTTCTTTGAAGTCTGCAGAGGAGGGAAGGTGGGTCTCGAATGATTTTAAATTTCTCATCATGAAAGTATTGCTGCCTCTTTCATGCTGCATATGATTTTCAGTTCTCCAAAACGAGGGTCACAAAGTTTTTTGCTGTGCAATTGTCCAAGCCCCAAGGCTTCACCGGCGCAAAGGGCCGTGTGTCAGGATCGGGGATGGCCTGCTGACTGCGGTCGTTTGCGGCGAGATTTTCGCCTCTCCTTCAGCCTTTGCCGTCGCCAGAGCGCTGGAGGAGCCGGCTTGAACCCGCAATGGCCTTTGTTTGGGCCAGATCTCAAGGCCAATGTACTCTGCTTGGAAATTATGGCGCACGTAGCCTATGCGCATCAAAGTCAGGCAGCAAATTGTGGCTGCCAAGTTGTAGTTGTAGACATGCCGAGAATGTGCGTAAGCGCTGCTCTCTCGCACTGCACTGGAGATTGACATCCAATGCAGAGTTGCAACGCTAGTTGTCAGCCTTTATTCCGCCGGGACGCCTTTTGGTCGACATACACATTGGGCAAATTATGATGAGCTCTGGGACAAGGCGAGCTTACCCATGTTGAAGGTCCTTTTACCTGCTGATCCCTTTGTTCAGGTTTTGGAATTGAACAATTCGAATAATAATTGAAACTTGACAGGCGGTCACTGGCAAAGCGGGCGCCCTGGTAGTCATCCGCAGCAATGCTGGCACCGCGGCAAAGCGATACCGGAGACACGTGCTAAACATACTCCTTCGAAAGGGGATTCCAATAGGAGGGGTATTTATTTTAGTTTCTTTTTTGGCTTCTTGGCTTTTTGGCTTCTTGGCTTTTTGGCTTCTTGGCTTCTTGGCTTTTCAGCTTCTTGGCTTTTTGGCTTCTTGGCTTCTCGGCTTTCGGCTTTTTGGTGGTTTTTGCGGCTTTTGGTGGCTTTTTTTGGCTTTGACTTTTCGCATCTTTTGCATTCCCAGTTCCTTTTCGGCAGGTGGCGTTTTGGCTTTTGCAGCTTTTCGCTGGTTTATGCAGCTTTTGGCGGCTTTGGCTTTTGGCATCCTTTGCTTTCCCAGTTCCTCTCCGGGCTTCCCGCATGATCAGCATCACCAGTTCCTCCCTGTTTGAATCATCACTTCTTCGAACATCGTGGGGGGGGAAGCCCCCCCCCCAACCCACCCGCTACTGTTTGGATTGTTTGCAGGGTAATTGCACCCCTATTTGAATCATCACTTCTTCCGACATCATGGGGGGGCTGCCGCCCACCCCGCCCGAACCCCCGCCGCTACGTTTTAGATTTTCTACAGAGATTGAATTGCACCCCTATTTGAATCATCACTTTTTCGAGCGTCCAATGTCGCGAGAAAATGCTGCAAAATACAACATTTTGTCTGTATGTATGCACTTCTTCGAACATCATAGGGGAAGCCACCCCCGCCAACCCTCCCGCTGCCTTTTAAATTCTATCGAACCCTTTCTTGAATCACTGCACCCCTACTTTGAATCATCACTTCTTCCGACATCATGGGGGGCTGCCGCCCCCCCAAATTCAGCGCTACGTTTTAGATTTTCTACAGAGATTTAACTAATTGCACCCCTAGTTGAATCATCAATTCTTCGAACATCATGGGGGGGCTGCCGCCCCCGCCCCCCCCCCTCCCACTTCTTTTTAGACTTTTTGCAGAGATTTAACTGCACCCCTATTCGAATCATCACCTCTACGAACATCATGAGGGCGGGGGTTGCCGCCCCCTCCAACCCCCCCGCTACTTTATCATTATTATTATTAGTATTAGTATTACTATTATTACAGGGATTGACATACCCTCCTATTTGAATCATCTTGCTTTTTCCGCCAGTTTGATTTTGTTACCCACGATTTGTTGGTGATGTTAGGGCGTCGGACATGCGGGGGATGTTGAAAACGATGCTGGGGATGTTGACGGGCTAGTGTAAAATGCGTCAATTATACGACATTGTACTGGCCCGGACAAAAGAAAAGCATCAAAGCCAAATCCGAAAAAAATCCAAACAAAATCCTCACCCATTCCAATAGTTTTTACTTCTACAGGGCATCAATGGAAACATCAGATTGACAAGCCGTCCCACAAAGAGGTGGATTTCCGGAAATGAAGGACGCCCAAAGCAGCCCCTCTCGGTCCAGGGCTCGATCAAACCTGGGCTGTTTCAGTCAACTATGCAATGGGATGCTGATACTACTGATGAATTCATGCAACAACCCTCGAGCACTGTGACTTGCCCCCCATGGGTACAAGCATTGCCACGCTTTATTGTTGTTTGGTGCATTTGTTGACGCCAGACTCTCTCTCTCTCTCTCGCCTGTCCCTCTCCGTCCTCTCCCTCCTTTCCCTCCTCTCCCTCCTCTCCCCCCCCTCCCTCCTCTCCCCCCTCTCCCTCCTCTCCCTCCTCTCCCTCCTCTCTCTCTCTCTCTATTTTCTCTTTCTCTCCACCTCTCTCTTTCTCTCTATCTCTCGCTCCATCTCTCTCTCTCTGCATTCTCTCTCTCTCTCTCTCTCTTTTTCAGGCAAGGGTGTCAGCCGTTGCCGTCTTGCCTCAAGACGATTCATTGACCCGGTCTCTTATCACATCAGTTCTGACGAACCATGGCGCTTGAAAGGGTGCCACGCCCCCCTCTCAAAGCTTGAAATGGTTGGAGGGGGATCGAATTTCGGTCTTGTTTTGTTTGTCTTCGTGGGTGACCACCCACCCCCCGTTTGTGAGTTATGGAACCGGGACATGTCTCTCCCCACCCATTCAAATACCGACCGAGCACTCGGGAAACGAAACCGGGCTCACGCGGCTTCTGTTTTTGCATGCCACTTTCATTTACTCAAGATCAATTGTAATTTCATTTGTTTTGGTTTTAAATGGAATCCGGGGCGAAAAAACAGATGGCAGCCCATGATTCACTGAGGCACACGTTTGAATTTCATGTCCGCCGTGAAGGAGGTCCAGATGCCTGGCTCAAACTCGGCCCGGGAAGCGATGGGGCGGCTGGGGGGGGACCAGGAGAGGGAGAGAGAAAAACGACAACACACCTGGGGTGTTTCCCATCCCTTACGAAAACTCCCGAGATTGTCCTATATAGTTGCCTCGGCACCACACAGGCTATGATTCCCATGATGGCGCAAAACACAGACAAAAGGGGTGGCTTATTTTGGATTCCTTCAGATCCTTTATTTAGCACCCGGGTTGGTTTGTTTAGGTGGTGGTTGGAAGCTTCAGTCATTTGGTGCGCATTGTGGGGTTGTAGGCTTGTTTCATGTGGAGGGAGGGGATGGAGATGGTTCTTCGTTTTCATTCGCGGGGTTGGTGGAGCACTTGGCACAGGACAAAGACAGCCCATTTGCTGTTTAAGCTCGGCAGAGGTCGGGCACGTTTCCTCGAGGTGCTGCGACCAAATCATGTTGTTTTTTTGTTTGACATGTGTCGATTACATACTGTACCGAGCGTCGGCGGCCGACGCGCAAAACATTAATCATGGGCCCAGTCATACGAGGGACTTCCGAGCGCAAATCAAACCCAGGCGTCCTTTGAAGGTGGCCAAACAATGGAACCCGGCTCACAGCGCCAAGTTGTCAGGGATGTCCAAGGTGTTGCTTGTTGGTCATGGAAGCTTGCAACCTGCGGCCGACACATCTCTGCATGATATATTTATCTATACATAAATATATATATATATATATATATATATATATATGTATATGTATATATCTTGTATATAGGAATATGTCTATATAGTTATATACGTGTATATGTTGAAATGTATTCATATAGTTGTATAATACATGCATATATATATATATATAGGTATGTACACAGTTATTACATATGCATTTTCGCTTCGTTCACGGCACCTAGTACGTGCCCAACACATCGGTTTGCCATTCGGCGCTCGCCAAGGAGCCGCGCGCAGCTGAACGTGCGAGTGGTGTGCGTCTCTGATGATGTTGCCACCAGCAAGAGGAGCGACCGGGACGTGAAGTGACACCTCCCTCGAGGAACACCACCTTGGGCTTCCCCTGCAATGTGTCAAGCCAATGAAAGCTCCTGAATCTAGAGTTGCTTCCGCAAACACATTTGCAGGATAGGCAACCCAACCCTTTTGCAAAGCAAGCCCTCAATCATTTAGCAGACGGCCCGCTTCCAACAAGTTGCTGGGAGTTCGGAAGTTTCACCATCGCTTTGCATGACTTTTTTGTCAGCTTGTTTCAGTAACCAGCACTTCGTAGTTGATGACACAGCTTCAACATGGCAATCTCCTGAAGCTTGCAAGAAGGCATTGTCGCTTCAACTCCTGTCAGTGTCTAAGCGCATGTGTTCCACCCTGTCCCCAAGTATACTGGGAGATTGGGAAGCCATAGGCCAGCAGAGTTTTGGGCACCTGGTGTCAGCTTGGTGGGCACCATGCGCAGTGCAACCATTTGTCTATTACCCCATGCGAGCAGCCGCCAAATTCTACAGCCGGAAGACACCACTAAAGCTGGCAACTAGGCAAAGTTTGAGGCAACCACAGCCCTGCGCGAGCCAGCGACAGTCTGCAGAAAATCAGCACCAGAATGCAGTGGCTGGTTTGCCAACGCAGTGACGATCATCCAAAGACCCAACAGAAGAATCAACAGCCTTGAGCCTGGGGAGGATTGCCCTTAGGCGCCCGAAGAGCTGTCAAGTCTTGGGTGCAAATCCCTTGAGGAGTTTGCCTCGCGTTTGTCCCGCGCAGGCTCGGAGACAAAGCGGATTTCCGGCAGGCGCGGGGTATCGCAGGCGGGGCCTGCAGCTTCCGCGTCAGGAACGGAACGAACGAGAAATTTGGTTCTCGTGGCCTCCTAAAAGTGCAGGTTGCCTCAAGCTTGTACCGCACAGGGATGCAGATGCAGGCGGAAGGGGCCGAGGTTGAACATCCCGCGGCACCCGGAGGTCTCCTTGCGTTTTCCGGCAGGCTCGCTACTGGTGTGCAAGATCGCGGGGGCGGCTGCTGCCGCAGGCTTGTCCTTGGATGAGGCCGGGAGTGGCTGGGTGGCCATTTGGTTGAAAAGGCATGGCACTATCTTCATAAAGGCATGGCACTGGCTTCACTTTGGTTCTAGCGACTTTGCCTGTGGGAGTTTCCAAAAAGGGCACTCAGGGCTGGCTGGCTCAAAAGCGCGTGGGGGAGTGGTAAAGCGACAGACCTGGTTGAAAGAAAGTAGATGAAGAAGTTCCGTAAAATAGCTGGCGGGTACCTAATCATCGAGGTCGACGTGCAAGGCGCTACCTTCACTGCGTACGAGTC